CTGCTGAATCACCTCATTGTGAATAGCTCTAGTTCTTTAAAGATGGTGAAAAAAAATGTAGTAACAGACTAAGGAAACACTGGAAGCTGTAATAATTCTATAAGGGGCTCCAGGACTAAAGTAGAATTCCACATATGTCGGAAATGTAGGTGTTTCATTTTAAAATGCCCAACATCCAATGCATCAACACTTTTATTACGTCCGTAACATCAAACTTCTTTGCATTATGTGCTCCCCACAGTCACTGAAACAGGTTCTGAATGCTGTTTCCATTTTTGTTTGTTAGCAGACCTGCTCACAAAATACCGACACCATGAAATTATATTCTCTCAGAGATAACGGCTGCAGCAAACCTCTGAGTGGTAGTCCATAAAAGGTATGCAGATTATAAAGTCTACTGCTCATTTTAGGTTTTAATCAGGAAATAAATACCAACATTGAACATGTAAATAACATGGCGCATGTAAATAATATGGAGCTTGAGGTGATTTTGAAAAATATAATTTCATCTGGTAGCATTCAACATTTCACTGTTAGTCATCTGGTTTTTATGGAACAGTTCTAATGACTGCCTTATAGAGAGGAGAAAAGTAGTATGTGAATATCTCCACAAAACATTTCCAAATTTCATGAACCAATCTCATCACTTCACACACTACTGCATTCTGATTCTCTGGACTAGTGACAAAAATGATCTTATAGTCTGGTAATTTTTTTTTGTTGTTGCTTAAGCTATATTTGTAAGCTTCCAAAGCATGTTCTGACTGAAATTTGATTTCATAAAAACCAGCATAGTTATGTTCTCCTTAATTTCTGGAGGTGAAAGAAAACCAGACATGGTACAAAACAGAAAACCAGCATACATATACTCATTATCCTCTTGTATACTCAAATGAGAGGCCTAATCAAAGTAACAATCTATAATGTGCAAAACCTTAATTCCAGACAAATCAATGACAATTTCAGTATGGGAACAGAATTCTCTCCAAACACACCTTTTGAGTCAGGCTAGAGAGACAATTTTGTCTGAAATTCTGAAATACATCTCTTTACCTGAGCATCCAGAGGCACATTATAAACCTCGGCATCCAGCAGAACAGTGCAGGCACTGAACGGTAGTGTTTGATTAGCTAGAGTTCTTGCTGCTCGATAATGAACACGTAGAACTTCTTGTTCGTTAGAAACAATGAGCTTCTCCTAATTCAATAAGATATCAACATATAAATATACATTTTGTAAATTCAGCATTTCAGTTTGATTCATAAAAATGTCCATTAATTTGAACATTTATTTTCAGGGGCATACACTTTGGAACAGTGTGAGAAATGGGCTGGTAGAGGGAGGACCAGTTGTTCATCTAATCAAATCCAAAAGTTCAATTTAATGATGCAAAGAGTGTTCCCTGAATGTCAGAACTAAAACACCTTCTCCCTCCCACCACTGTTGGCTGAATGGCATGCCCAAATTTTCCTATTAGTGCTACTGAGGCAAGTTCTAGTTAATGAAGAAGATGAAAGATATGAGGAGCATAGGGTCAGGATATAGGTTTGTGAGTCTCAGCCATATTAAGACTTTTGTCACATGCTCATCATGCCAGGCACAATGGCCAAGCAAACTGAAGCAGAAATGTAATTTGCAGGGTAACTGAAATAATTTTTAATTTTTTTTTTGTTAAACAACATGCAGAACTTCATAAATCCATAGCTGGACGAAGTTTCTTTCCTGAACTGAGACAAGAAAATATAGTTCACTTGGCCGAACCTGACTTACAGTTGTATAAAGTGGATTTGATTTGAAGAACAGTCTGTTTGAGCAAAGTAAGTAAAAATATGCACAATTTTATAAGACATGAAAGAATGCATGTGTGTGTTTACTGCTCTGCAACATAATGGCTCCAATTTTTATCAAAGAAGGTGGATTATAAAAAGCTTGGAAAACAGAAAAAGCAGCACCTTTCCTTTGGTTACAACTAACTTCTTTTCAGCCAGAACTTGAGCTATGTTTACAATCTTTGTGCTTGTTATTTTATACCTAGCTTTACACTGAAATACTGAATTCAAGTAAAACCCCTCCTCTCAGCTGGTTTGTTAAGCCACATTGAAATCAACTTAATTGAAAAACTACCACATGGGGTTTTAATGAACCAGCTGCTTGTATAACTGTGTGGAAACCCTGAAGATACATTCTAAGTAAGAAAGGGGTCCTGCCTGCGTCCACAAGCAATCTGGCTCACAATACTGACAAGACATCCAAATCTAGGCTGCCAAGGAAAAAGGTTTGGGCAACCTAAAAATAAAGAATACTCTTAAACCAGGAATATTTTCTCAATTTCCATGTTCAAATTCAGTGAAGCCTACAGATGTAGTTCTAACAATTTTAAGCAGTTTTTGCAAACAGAATATTGCAAATAATGTTTTAGTCTTAGAGCCACATGTGTCTTCTACCAATACAGAATTTACTTTTGCTTCAATTTTTTTAACTCAGTCAATTTGGTTCTGAAGTCTACAACCATTATTAGCTTTCATAAGTAGAGTCTGCAGCTTTCTTCCCACTCCTCACTGCCCCTGGGAAAATGTGGGCCACATCTTAGAGCAATTAACAGGAAAAAGCTGCTATCTTACTGACTTAAGTATTCTGCTAACAGCTGTCCAAAATTTTTTCTTTTTTCGTATTTACAAGTTTCTCCAATTCATAAATTTGGATAGAACGCAGATTACTTTTAAAGCATTGTTAAATTGAGCAAAATATAGTCTATCCATTGAAAAAGAAAAAACCCTGAAGCTTGAAGTTGGGAAATAAAGAAGTAAATTACTTCAGTCTTACCCTTTCAATACTGTGCTGTAAACGTAGTTTCATCCTTACAACCTCCTGTTGTTTAAATAGTTCCTTAAGTGGGTCCGACAGTGAGGGAGGTGGTGTAATCTGTGGAGAAAGTTTTATAAATAGTATAGTGAGTATGTATTTAACATATGTTTAACATTGCCTGTATGATTTGAGTATTTATTTAAAATAAACATAAGCAAGGTATTTTTTTAGGGAAAATACAAGACTTGTACATTCCATTAATTATGTGACTTCAATCCATTTGCAATAAAAGGTTTTAAGGATTCTTTACCATAAAGTTAATAAACCTGACTGAAATGGCATTTCAAACTGTATAGTGCTTTTTACCAGTCACTGTCAGCATGCTATAGGTGTTCTTTATAAAGGCTATACATTAGAAGATAGTAAATACACAACTTGCTTTCAATTTTAAAGACTCTTTAAAACACAACTGTTAATTTTCAGAAGTTAAAAACTGTCTAGCCAAATACAAGAGCAAAGTAAGAAAAAGAAAAATATTGCTAAAAAAAAAGGTGACTTGATATATCCATACAGTGTCACTGGCATTTAATATGGCACAAAATATAACCAACCATATTCCTAATCTTACAATCATGCAGAACACAGGCAAGCACAAAAAGTAGACTAGAGCCCGAGGCAGTGGCTTGGAAAAGTGTTTCCTCCTGTCAGTTACTCAAATAAGTTTTTTTAAAAGCTTAGGGAAAAAAAAAAAAAACAACCCAAAAAACCAAACCAAAAAAACCTTGAGTGAGCTATCAACACTGTTATTGATTGTCTACCCTCTAAACATTTTGCATTTTTAGTCAATTATAGTAAACAACTGGTATTACTGTCCTGACTGAGCTGTATGACAAACACTGAAAAGGCACCTGGAGCCCTCATGGCAATTGCAGAAATCAAATGTTTCTTGAGAAGTAACTAATAAACATCTTGGGAGTTTCAGGGCTCCACCCAAAGTTTACTTTTCTCTATGCAAGTTCTGTCTGACAGTTCAGCATGTTTTTTAACAACTGCTAGATGTAAAAGCATTGATACTGCTTTGGAAAGACTCATCAAAACTAAATGAAATACTGCTTACTACCACTGACACTCAGAAACCACAGCTGAAATACCTACCTACAGGTATTATACTCTACCTTGTACCTAACACAAACACATAGACACAAATAATTTTATTCAGTAATATGCAACTGTCAAGAAATAATAAATCTGTTATGAAAATATGGACATACTGCATTACTAGTACCAATTGTGCACCTATATGCTCCAGTAACAAAGTGGTTTATCTACCAGAAATTATTCAGTTATTGTTATCTTGGAAAATTATTTCAGGACAATTTTTTCCCCAGCTGGAAGTTAGCCAATGTCTTTGGGATTAAAGAACACACTGAATAACTAATTGCGGCTCATTCATTATTATTTGGTATGAAATGACATTCAACTCCTTCACATTTCAAACTACTAAACAAGACACACTTCACTTCTCTCAATGAAAACGGGCTGGCTCCCAAATCAGCGAGTCACGTTTATGGCACATGCCATTTTGTATAAATCAACGGTATTAAAACCAAATACACACAACAAAAAAACCCAAACCACAAACACCTACCAGAATAACCTGTCTCGATCATAATGGATTTCAGCATGTTTAAGTTCAGCCCGAGATATACTGCAGTCTAGTTTTGCCTGGAAACTTTGCGTTCAGGGCACAGCGCAGCAGTACAGTCACAGTCGTTCAATAAAATAAGACAAGATGCTCGTAGTAACACCAAGCTTTTATTTAATTAATTTTACTAAACCCAAAAGGACCTCTCAAAAATCTCAGTGCTGCTGTAATAAAGAAGCACACGGCATAAAAAGCAAGATAAACAGTCTGTCTATAATATTCTATGCGTTTACGCAGCTAAGTTATCCAGAAATAAAGATTTCCGAGCTGGCGAGCAACCGTATCACCTGAACAATTTCAAATGTTACGATGAAACGTTAGTGCTTTAAATGCAGAGGCGGTTTCATTTTGCAACAGAAATAAGAATCAACCCCATAGGAAAGAACTGGCAAGGCCTTAGCTCTCTCGGCAGCCAACTCGTGTGGCCTTTCACTCGCGCCGATGAGAGGCCTCTGCCCCTGCGAGCCTGCTTTCACCGA